ATGTCCCCCCCCCCCCCTCCCCTCCTTCCCCTACTAGCGTGCATATGACCTGTTAATGTCATGTTTCTGATTATGTCACGCAGACGACTTTGCAGACGAGGAGGAAGTACAGTCTTTTGGATACAAGAGGTTCGGTGAGTGAAAAGTGCTTTTTCTTAAGGTGGAAGAGGGAAAAACCAACACATTTGGAGCTTTTATCATAAAACTTTTATTGTTTTTAGAATAAAATGTTGTGAATTAAAGCTGCTAAGTGTGTGGGCTTTTTCTCTGTTCTGCTGTTACTAGAGTTACCTTGATACTAATGCACACGTTGCTCTAATTGAAACTTCTATTTAACGCAAAAGCTGTCAGGATCTGTTCTCGTCTGTCCCGATATTCGGCTCAATCACTAATGGTTCTGCAGTGTTTGGGGTTGAACATAAATGTGGCTGACAGTCTGTGAGGTCCATCTGACCGCAGGACCGACGACTGCTGACAGAGCTCGCCAGATGAAGAAGCTTCAAAAACTCTCTTCTCTCTTTTAAATTGAGCCACTTACACACATTGACTCACACAAACATGCCCCGTGGACCTCAAAAAATGTGGAGCTACTCAAACTGAAATTCTGGTCAACATATATCTTCTCTGTTGTGGTTCGACACACGCGGACAGAGTTCACACGCATTCGGGTTTGTACTGGTGCACATGCAGCATGCTTGTGTAGCTTAAAGGATGCAGCCTGGCACCTTTTTACTGCACCAGAAAGCTTTCAGTGAACCGGGGAAGATTAGATTGATAGGGATTAATTAAGATTAAAGGGGTCAGTTCACCCAAATTACAAACTTTTAAAGCCGTGTTGGTTGCTTTTTTTTCCTCCAATGCAATGGAGGTGCTGCTCAAAAGATCATAAAATGCAACAACATGTCTTTCCAGAAAAACTGTCCCCATAACTCTGGATATTCCACAGACTGTCAACAGGTTTTATTTTCTGCTAAAACAAATAGCTCCTATGACTAATACTTCCTATGAAGTGGAAAAATATGAAACTTCGGTTAACTGACCCCTTTAAAATTTGCATCTCCTGCCTGTTTTTTCCTCCGTGGTGACTTTAATCTGGTTCAATCTGTCCTTCCCCCCTTTTTGTTCTTTAATGCAACACATGTTTATTTCATGAATGCACATTTGTTACTCACACATGCTCCACTAATGATGCCCAATCTCACCGTCAAAAATAAGGATCTGTTAGTTTCACGACCCCTCCGGTTGCTGCTGCCGGGTTTCCGTGAGGCGGTGCGTTTTTCCATCAAGTGCTTTTTGGATAAAGAAGAAAACACTGGCAGCAAAGGGCAAACACTGTGTCACACACACACTCAAACACATCATTATTACTCTCCTTGGAGACGGAGCGCATGCTCCATCACTGTTCAGTTGATTTAACATTGACTTGGGATCAGGAGCCTCTGTGTCTCTGTATTTAGGGTGTTGCTGCAGTATGACTCATTCACACGCAGTTCGGCCGATGTCCATGAGAGTGGATGTGAGGTAGTGGACGCGGCGGCAGCAGAGACGAATTCAAACTGTGTTAAAACACAATCCCTTTCATCCGAGTCACCCGAGTAGAGGCATCCTGTTTGTCTTTCTCTGTGAGCGCGTGTGAGTCCCGCTCATGGATTAGATTAGAGAGCTACGAGGAGGGGAGCCAAATCCAGCTCACTTTTAACTTTATTCAAATGAACTCTTGACATTCGGAGGAGTCAGAAGAGAGAGTTGCTGAACTCTGAGCTGAGTGCCGTTGGCCTTCTCTGGGACACAGCAGCTGTTTGGAGGGGTCCGACTCTGGGGGTCTGCCTCACCACTCCAGAGGCTTTGTTGTGCAATAGAGCTGCATTTATGCAAACCATCACAAACTCTCATTCTTCCACTATTAGCGCTATAGTGTCAGTACTCAGTGGGAAACAAGCAGTTATTTCCTCCCTGCATGTTTTGCTTTAAATCATTGTGCTCTCCCTGGAGACTGATAGTGTTTAAATATTTGTGATATGTCAAAGCTGTGACTGTTGCGCAAATCTGAGCTCAAAAGAGGATGACTTGACAAAGAAACACTTAAAGGAGCAGTGTGTAGGATTTAGTGGCATCTAGCGGTGAAGCAACCATTTGAATACAGCTCACCCAGTGTAAGAAGTGAACGTGGGTTAGAAACAGTACACACAAGTGCCAGTGGGCTTTTGTTTCTTATCCTTTTTACATACTTTGCATTACTGCTGATTTGTTCCAGAAGTTTTTTTCCAGGAAGCCATTGACTTCCACTAATCCCAATACACAATGAAAACCATCTTGCAGTGTGGTTTGAAACACGCAGACATATTCCATCAGCTACTATTTAGCCACTTTTATTTTTCAGTCACAGTTACGTGATTGTTGTGCCGTAACGCAGCTGCAAGCAGGGACTGTTTTAAGAGCAAAGTTTGGACATCCAGTATTAGTAAGTCAGCTGTTTAACAGCATTGCATAAATCAGCTAAGTTGGCGTCTCGATCTCCAGATCCTCCTGTACCCATGTCAAAATCAGTATTAAAACTCATGATACTTTTTGAAAAATGGACTCTAAAAAGCACTGTGGTCCTTTCAGGAGGATGCAGCATTGTAGGATGAAGAATTGGGAGGCTGGTGGCTTGTGTGCTTAAAGCTTTCTTCATAAAAATGCTTTACGGAAGATAAAGGAGCAATAAAATACCATATGTCTAATGGTTGGCTTCATCTCTTTTTCTTCCAATTCCTTGAATTCCAAGATTCAAGGCCTCCAGCCTTTCTGTAAAAACCTTTGGAAGGACTGCAGGTACAATGTGTAATATCCATAACACACACACACATATATAACACATGTGTACACGTAGTGACAGCGTTGTCGAAATATCTTTAAAAGCACCTTTGAGGGTGTTTGTACATTGGCTGACGAGCAAAGTAACTAATCAGCCTTCCGAAGGTCAGAAAGAGCCCAATGGGGAAACACACACACCTACACACACACACACACACGCACACACACTTTAAGCAGAGTGAACTGTTTCTGATTCTCTGTCTTAAACAAACGTCATCCAGAAGGCATGCATACATCATGTATATTTACACAAATACACACATAAACGCACATTTTTCCACTTGTTTGTATACAAATGGAAAAGCACGTCAACACATGGGCGCACACACACACACACTCAATATATTCACTGAGTGAATTCATATGGTAATCCCATCTCTCTTCCTGCCAAGTTGAAGCCAGGCCGGAATTGCTTCCACAGTGCTCAAGGTTTAAACATATTTATTTTTCAGTGGGGGGTTGACATAAGAAGGCCACCAGAATAAAACAGAAATCTACTTGAGCTTTGGCTGAACTCTTACAGCCCCTTTAGAGCTGGTATAATCATTGGTCATCGGCCTGACAAAAACCATGAACCCTCCAGTCGCAAAAACCTAAGTCGGCAAGTAACTAACAAGTGGAAGTCCTGCACACATCAACAGAACCTCAGTGGGATTAAGTGCTGCTTTCGAAAAGCAACAGAAATCAGTAGAAAGATCCAAAAGTCATCAACAACACACAAACTTCCACTACTGACCATTTGCAAGTAGTCTTGTTTGTCTGGTTTAACTGGACACGAGTAACAGCCACTGGTTTGTGTATTATTCTTAGTTTAACAGCAGAAAATGTTGGTACACATCAGGTTGGGGTGCCATTTATTCATTATCAGTTATACAGAAAGAAATCCATTGTAGAAGAAGCAGTTCCTCCACAAGTAGTAGCTTCAGTTGATCTGAATAAAGAACTTTAATGAAGAATTGTATTCAGTTTATCTGTAGCACATCATTGCTCTCTCTGTCTCTATCTCTTGATGTACTGAACTTACAGTACAGTTCAGGCTCATGCACAGCATTAATGTCTGAGACAGTGGTCGGGTTTTTAATGTATATATGTACAAGGTTTATAGGTTCAAAAGATCTGCAAAGGACATAGCGAACATTTCATCTGGGTCCTTTGTTTAAGCTAGAATAGCAGGTTAGTAAGCAAGTCAAACATCATAAAATGTATTACTTTTGCTGTATTTTTACACAAATATCGCTATTTTATACTACTTTAAACAGTCGGTATAAATGTCCTTCGGAAAAAAACAAGCGAGTACTTTTTACTTTTGTACTTTGAGTACATTTCAGAGCCTGTACTTTTTTTAACTTGAGTCTTTTTTTGTGCAAGTATCTGTAGTTGTACTTGAGTAAAGAAGGTGTTTGCTCTTGCCACCTCTGCTTGTAGCAGTCACACACAACAGTGTGGCAAAGTGAGTTTTCGCAAAGGAAAACTATAAAGAAAGATAAATGCCACGAGTTAGAAATAGACAGGAAAACACTCAACGAACATCATATATTGACAATAAATAACTGTCAGAATGTCAAGGTAAAAATCTTTCACAGTTCAATGAGTTTACAGTTACAGAATTCAATATAAATTACATTCACCACCGTCCCGCGCTGGCTTTCATGTCGCTGACGTTGCTGGTATGTGGAGGAGTTTTAGGATTTGCATGTTGTTGCAGCTAAGAGTCAGGGCCAGTTCTGAAATAACGGAGGCCTGATTGCTCCATGCAGCAGGTCCTCCTGGGATCTGCGCTGATGTCTGGATGGGGGTCTTACTCCCTCCGCTGCTGCGTCTCCTGTTCCCACACATGTGGGTTTGGAGAGGTCGGGCTCAGGAGGTTTGTGGCCGGTGTGGAACCCAAAGTGCACTAATCTATTTCCTGCACTTGTTATGGTTTCTCCAGCAAGACCCAGAACGTTCCTGGAGCCGAGTATGGTGTTGGGCCGTCTGAGCCTGGAACCAGCTGTGTCAGCATGGTTCGGTCCGGTGGGTTTCTCTGGCAAAAGAGCGTTCCCTGGCTTCACAACCACCTTCAGCTGCAGTCATAATGACACCTCACCCACCACCTCATCCATCCTGGTTAACATGGACTCAAACATGGTTATGTTAACATTACTGGCCCGCCTTTGTCAGACACTGACACATTTAATACGTGCTGTCATGTGATACTTTGAGTTTGTCAGAATGTCTGATGAGGATTTCTATGCACTTTGCTGTGGTTTCTTGGCCTTTTTTACAGGGTTGTGTTGTG